GTAAACAAAAATGTCACTTAGCTGACGACCTATTATGAAGAAGCATGCGAATAATTCACATTTTAAATCAGTTGATGTAGATATAGAATAAAGAAAATAAGTATATCTATATGAATATACCGACAAGTTACGGGATGATAAAATATATAAAATAATTTCTTTAGGCATGCTTGGATACATGTGAAACGTACAACAGGACACTGACAACCACAAAGGTCAAGGTCAAGGTCACTTCCAGGTTACTGATGTCATCAGTGAAGCAATTCATATATAAAGAAATCGGTTGTTCTGATACAGAAACTAAAATTAACAATCATATACAGATACATTTCCTTATTGAAGCATACGTGAACGATATCGCACATTTAGAGTAGTCGTCTTAATATTGATTTCACTCAGATGCCTGGAATCTCAAACAACAAAACAAAACCTCCTTTGTAAAACACTTACAAGCAACATTAAGTCATATAGTAGTTCTCATAAAGATCGTTTAGGCCCTGAATCAATTTCCAACGTGTTCTGGTTTATCTGTAACTAATTCCTTCTATGGCTGAACCAGGCACTCAACATTGAAAAGTAACCCTTTGTTCGCCACATCAGCAGGATGCTCAAGCACTGAAATATAAAAAAGGTCGAATCTTACAAACATCATGTTTTCATGGAATTATTTTCATAGCCTATTATCAAGGAAATACTATACTCATGCCAATAATGGTTGTCACCCCCTTCAATTGTTTTAATTGGAGAGGGGTGTGGGGTGGGGTGTGAGGTGTGGGGGTTAGGGTGGGAGGGGGTGACAACCATTATTGGCATGAGTATATATAAGTGACATGACATGTCATGACAGATCAAAGCCTTGATACTTAACAATGGACGTCAAGTTGAGAAAGTAATCGGACATATAGACGAAAGACCGTGCTTCTGTTCAGAATATACTGTATTCAGTTTGCCCAGTCATATAAAAACGGTGAGAATTGTTTATTATCAAGAATAAACCGGTTATCACAAACATAATATTCTTGTTGTTGACTTACTTCACGTCTCTGATGGCGCAACACAACACCATGGAGAAGATCATTCCCAAAATCTGAAAACGAACATGAAGATAATATAAAATATTTCCATTCAAAGGTAAATAGGGGCGGTGGGTCAGCCTAGTGGTTAAATCGTTCACTCGTCACGCCAAAGACCCGGGTTTGATTCATTACCTGGTTAGAATGTTTGAAGCCAGATTCTGGTGAATTCTGTAAAACTGCTGGAACATTGCTAAACGCCGAATAAAACCATACTCACTCACTCACTCACTCACTCACAGGCGAATGGGACTTCCAGCGTTTCACAACAGTTTATACTTCACATCAAACCACGCTTCACTCTGTACCCAGGCCCTGGGCATGACAAGCTATTGTTCGAACCACTATACGAGGATAATACGACTCCACTACCCCTAACATATTGGGGACACGGATATCGAATATGTCTTCGTATGTCACTCGTATGTTACAGCTGTTTCTCACAAACGCAATCATCAGGCTGATTAAAATCCTGATGATTTTCCTGAAACTTTCAATATGTCTTTACTTCCGGTAGATTACAAAATGGACGTCCGTATTTCCAAGGGACATAACCGCATATTCTTATTTGTTTTTACCTGGTCGGCAGCTTTAGAGGCGCGATCGAAAAAGTTCCAGCTCAGAATAAAAGACAATTTGGCCGCATTTATAGGATGAACTGCCGACAATTGAGAAATACTAGCAACATGCAAGCATAACGAGCTCTGTTGTATGTGCACCCACCATGATGAGAGCGACACCGATGGCAACTCCTGCAACAATGATAAGGTGAGACGACAGCTGCTTGAAAAGTTCGTCAACGCAGGGCTGAAAATACAATATATCTGATTAAAACATGCCAGAAAATTCCTAATACACCATAGCAACAGAGAACCAATTAATTCGAATATATCAATAAAAAGTGTCGTATGATGACCTGTACATTATTCGAGGTGCGTTAGGTCAGCATGTAACTAGTCCGACACAGAATCTAGTGGCCGACAGCGAGAGCAACTGGTCACGCCACCGAGGAATGGTGCACGTACTCTAACATGTCATAGCTAACATTTGATGCATTATCTATACACAAAGAGCTAAATTAAGCACCCCCTGTATTTTTGCAATGATAGGTTTTCAACACGTACATAAAACTTCTCGTGGTGACTGACTGACTGACTGAGTTTGGTTTTACGCCGCTTTCAGCAATATTCGAGCAATATCACGGCGGGAGACACCAGAAATGGGCTTCACTCATTGTACCCATGTGGGGATTCGAACCCGAGTCTTCGGCGTGACGAGCCAACGCTTTAACCACTAGGTTACCCCACCGCCCCCTTCTCGTGGTAACCACGATGGAATGACATGAGTGTTTCTCACCCGTATGATTCTTCGACTCATCAAAAAACGACAACATGACTGGAATCCATGTTGATTATATAATGATAATTGCTCATTTCATTAAAAACCCCACTGATTTCCATACAAAACCATGTCTCTACAAGTATGGCCCTGGAATGTTTAATGTTGAATTAATTGGTGAATGTGAACATTCATTTCAAAATGTCATTTGGCGTGTCTTACACGATTCAAGGTCAATACCGAGTGTAACCTCCACTGTATGACAGCCATCACTCTCCTCCTCATACCCCCTTTCAGCCTCTTGATCCGATGAAACGGCAGTCTACGCCATTTCTCGTGTAAAGCAGCTTCCAACTGGACCAGATTCTGTACAGGAGGATCCCTTCGTTGCACACGACGACCGATATGTCAGGGGGTGCTTAACTAAGTTCTGTGTGTATATGATCTCCACATGATCCTTTCTGAGTATCTCTCAACTTACCCTCTTGTAGTTTTGTGGTTTGCAGGTACTGGGAATTCCAACATCGACGGGATAATCTCCAGATCCTGTTTTGGATCCACAGCACTCAAGCTGAAAAGATTACATGACTGACTGAGTTTGGTTTTACGCCGCTTTTAGCAATATTCCAGCAACATCACGGCGGGGAACACCAGAAATGGGCTTCACACATTGCACCCATGTGGGGATTCGAACCCGGGTCTTCGGCATGACGAGCCAACGCTTTAACCACTAGGCTACCCCACCGCCCCGAAAAGATTACATGAACGAAAATGTAATGCTTCGTAGTATGTTTGCCTTTTCAAATATATACTACCCATCAAAAGTTTAGACTCGCTTAAATCAATCACTATAACTTATGTATGTACATATGGTTACAACGAAGATGAATTTCTCCACTTAGGGGAAACATCTGCAAACCTTATGCAGATTAATTGCACGAGGATCATACATCAAATTGCTGAAAAGCATGTGTAAATATCGTGTATGTAAACAGCTGCGTTTTGGTGTAAAGTTTTGATAAATAAATCGCCATTTCTCATCGAGTTTCATCATTTATTGAACACATGACAATAAAATTTTCAACGTCACGAATTTGTTTTACAAAACATCAGCTCATGTGTAAACAGTACTTTTAAACTGTACGGATTATTTTACAAAATCTAGTTCAGAACAGTTGACTGAAGTAAGTGGCTACATTTACACTAGTGATTCTAAACTTTTGATGGGGAGTATATATTAGTTTTATCTTTATCACGTCAAACAACCAGACATTTGGTCAACCGGTTCATGATGAAGGGCGATGGTTGATTGCACTTTAAACACATTATCACTGTAGCACATAATAGGGCCTGGCTGACACAATAAGGTGGTTCATATTTATAACTGGTGCAATACGTCACGCCTTTGTGTTCCAACGACAGAGAATCGGCTTAGTTCACAAACTATTTGTAGTTAGCTCTGACATGCCAACGGTACTGAGGGCCTATTTCAACTATCGCATATAATCGTGATAAACTATGTGAAACGTGTCGCAGACTCTACTAAAACAAGTGTAGTTTTACTGTTTCATTAAGCCTAACATGAAGCTGTGGTCAGACTAACTGACTTGGTTGGCACGTCATCGTATCCCAAGTACGTAGATCGATGCTCATGATGTCAATCACTGGACCGTCTCGACCAGACTCGATTGTGTCCAGACCGCAGTCATATAGTTGGAAAACTGAGTGCGGCGTTAAATAAAAAACAAAACAAACAAAGCGGTGTCCTGTGTATTGGAATGTACATATCCGGTCTGTGTTTTGTGAATGAGTTGTGTGAGCTGGATGCATCGCCGCTGTCAGCAGTATTCCAGTGATATGGGTGAGTGAGGGAGTAAGGTTTGGCGCCGCTTTTAGCAATATTCCAGCAATATGAGGACGGGGGACACCAACAATGGGCTTAACACACTGTACCCATGTGGGGAATCGAACCCGGTATGCAGCGCGACGAGCGAACGCTTTAACCACTGGGCTACTCCGTCGCCCCAGGATTAAAAGGGACGGACGTAAAAACATAAAACAGTTCGGATAACACAGTGAGAAAGTTCGGCGAAACCCAAGAGCACGTGTGTGATGCCAACAGTGAGTTTGGTTTTACGCCGCTTTTAGCAATATTCCAGCAATATCACGGCGGGGGACACCAGAAATGGGCTTCACACAATGTACCCATGTGAGGAATCGAACCCGGATCTTCAGCATGACGAGCGAACGCTTTAACCACAAGGCCACCCCACCGCCCCGTGATGCTAACAGACCAAACTGGGATCCCGATACACCACACCGACAACGGACGCAACTTTACACAGAATGCATTACATCGCCTTCGACTTAATCCTCTTAATCTTGAAGGCAAGCTCCATAAGACGTTTACTTCCAGTGCCCAAAACAATTTTTCTTGTTGTGTGGGTACAAGTTCATCGGTAACAGCCGGGCACAAAATGCTTCGTAAGTTGTATCCATCCAGGGTGTTGAAAGTGGACAGCAAACACAATCTTCTGTCCAGGGAATGTTCGCAAGACGGATAAGTAAACGAATAAAGAACAAACCAAGTCATTTGAGAGATATTTTAATAGAAAACATGGCATATTGACAAGCTGAAAATATCTTTAAAATTCACAACACCTTGTTCAGACAGCGCATGCGCACAAAGCGCTTGTTCAGAAGACACGTACTACAGATAACCAACATATACACATTGTTGTTGGGAGACAGTTTTAATTGATTTCTAAATTATTGCCAAAACTTACCAATTATACGCAAGTGAACATTATTTCCGTCAAAACTTATATGCCAGCCCATTGGGTGATTTATCATAACCAACACAAGGAAATGACACCATGGTATGTCGATTTTTTAAAAGAAAGTTTCAAAAGTCAGTGTCTACACTGTAGTCTAAAATAGTGACGAAACCAAAACACAAAAAGAAAAATTAGTTTAAAATCGTAATTTACATCTAACTTCAAATGGTGATACGATTTCGTCGACTTAAGATAAGATTCTTTCGGATATTTGTCTTCAACACATAATTGGATATTGCACACTAGACACTGCGCCGCTGCAGGAAAACTAGATGTTGGCGACAACATTGGGTACTGACATAGAGATGTTTGTAGTACCTGCCGAAATTACAGTTTTACTGTCTATCTAGGATACAAATAGTGATAGAATGATACAAAGATGATACAACGGTTATAGGATGTTTAGACAGGTCTCAGGGTAGGTGGATTATATTGTTTCGCACACGATGAAAACATTGGCAAAATGAATGCAAAATACATCGCTGTAATTTCTAAAACCCTAGCAGTAACCTTTGAAACAAAACATACCCGGATGTCACTGAAGGTTAAATCGAAATAATACAATTGATAAGAGTGCAATAAGGAATTCGATTTCAATTAAAATACGTATAGACCGTAGTAAGGCAACCAGTTACCGCTCAATAAATTAATTTTGTTCCGGTGATGGGATTTTGTCGTGAATGCGTTCAATGGATTGCGGATTCTGAGCAATTCACACATGATAACGGCTTCAGTTAATGTATAAGAAAAGAATGAAACAGTTTGTTGTGTCCAGCAGCTTGACAATATTCTCCATGACTCACATGTATATCTTAAACCTCCACACTGAAAACCACCGCCAGACTCATCACGTCCATTGCAGGTGTATATTTCTCATTAACCAATGAGTCTTACAGTCACGTGGTACATGTAAAACCACACACACTAAAAAAAAGTGACGAACCACCCCAATATTCCGTATTTAAGTATAATATGAATCATAATATGAACTATGGGGGTGTTCCGTAACTTTTGTTGTTGAGTATATATGACGTGGTTGAGGATTGAACACACAGAAACTCTCCCCCTGTTGTTTAGTAGAAACTGTCAGTTGAAATACATCACAAATACAAGTATTAGATTTAGAAAAGGAGGAATTGACAACAATCCCACTGAATAATTTGTAAGCAATACCAATTGGTATTAAAAGATATTTTTGCTATCAGGTTTTTCAAATATAAAAAGATGTCCACCCAGCTGAGCCAAGACAAGTCTTATAAGCACAACAAACTCTGTACACAACAATATACAAGAACTAACAACATGCTGCCTTCCATTACAACGTTGTAATGGCCACTAGTCATTTCTAAAACCATATCGTCACTCTTCTGTTATCGTCTCTATGCCAATATCTAACATCCTTCAGTTCTGTAACTTCTCGGTCTGGGGTGTCACCATATCTTGAGGAAGCCAGTTCGAGTTATCTCCCTTTATCGACAACGTAAATCGAGCCTACTTCCCTGTCAGATCGTATACTGATTTGAGGTAATACACAGTGTTCACACGGTTGAATGACTTGAAATTGTTCATTTGTTCAACCACACCATACGTTTTTATCATTCCGTACCCTATGGAAAATATTCTTACGCGATCTTCGTTGTCCTACTGGGATGGGGTATGGAAATGAGCTTTTAGAAACGTATTAGACTTCAACCTACAAATAGTTACTGTAGGGTAGTTACTTATTTGAAAAGACACAACAAAGATCAAAGCTCCTTGTCTCGAAAAGTAAAACTGCCAAATAAAAGCATGAAAATATTAAATATTTTGATTTCAGTTAAAGATTTTGATACTAAATACAGAAAATTTACACAAGCGGGATGAATATATTGGCAAATGATGGGATAATAAATACAGGTAAAATTACTGTATAACGCATGCTGTGGTACATGTCAAAATGTACAATAACCCTTGACAAACAGGTCGAGGTCAAGGTCAAAACTAGATCATTGATGAGATGAGGTCAAAAAGATGTTCTTTTCCTGATCAAAATACCCCAAGCGATGGATGCTGAAGGATATATATATAGACGTACGTTGCTGCTGGCATAGGAACACTAACTTTACAATTTATATACACAGACACTTCCTTATTAAAAAATAATGGAACTACATATAATATGTCCAAAAGCAATCATCTTCTTCTGACTACACTGAAATGCCCGGAATCTCAAACAACAAAACAAAACCTCCTTTGTAAAACACTTACAAGCATAACTAGTTGATCTAACAGTTCTCTTAAGAGCGATTAGGACCTAAATCACTTTCCAGAGTGTTTAGGTTCGTTATCTTAACTAATTCATTCTATGACAGAACCAAGCACTCAAAATAGAAAAGTAACTCTTTATTCTCCCCAGCTGATCGATGCTCACGCACTGAAAAGGAGAAATGATATTTTAGAATAGTGTCTTAAAATATTGTCTGACATTCTGTGAAGGTAACTTAAATGTCAGTAATGTATGTTGGAGTGATTCTGTTCTGAACAATTGACTGACTGACTGAGTTTGGTTTTACCCCGCTTTTAGCAATATTCCAGCAACATCACGGCGGGAAACACCAGAAATGGGCTTCACACATTGTACCCATGTGGGGATTCGAACCCGGGTCTTCGGCGTGACGAGCCAACGCTTTAACCATTAGGCTACCCCACCGCCCCTCTGAACAACTGAAGTCACTAATAAGGCATACGACTTTATGGATAATAACATCTTGTTTATTGCACAGAGGGGGTGTTTCGGTGTAGATTCTTACACCATTTCAAGCATTTTCATCTTGAAAATGGTGTATGAATCTACAGAGTCGCGCAAAAAAATATTCGGACACTTGACGTCATTTCCATAGACTTACATGTTATTTTAGTGTAGCATAAATAATTTTCATGAAGTGAGTTTAGGATCGATCTTTGCCAAATTTGACAGGCAAATCTGAAATCATCTCTGCCCTGCGACCATTATTTCAGTTCAATTCACCGACCACTATTTAACTAATGACATCACATTTATCAACTTACGTATGGTTCCACAATGCACAATATTAATCCCACAGGCCGCCATGTTAAAGTAGTTCACGACACTGTACATATGTTGATTAAATTGTTGCCCTTCGATAAATAAGCAACGGAAAATTAAACAGAAATGATGTGATTGTATACTACCCATCAAAGGTTTAGACTCACTAGTGTAAATGTGGCAACTTACTTCAGTCAACTGTTCTAAACTTGATTTGCAAAATATTCCATTCAGTTTAAAGGTACTGTTTACACATGAACTAATGTATTGTAAAACAAATTCGTAACGTTGAAAAGATTATTGTCATGAGTTCAGTGAATGATGAAAATCAGTGAAAATTGGCGAATTCTTAACAAAACTTTACATCAAAACGCAGCTGTTCACATGAACGATATTTACACATGCTCTTTAGCAATTTGATGCATGATCCTCATACAATTCATCTGCATAAAGCTTGCAGTTGGTTCCCCCAATTTAGTGGCAAAATTCATCTTCGATGTAACCATATATATATACATAACATATAGTGAGTGCTTTAGGTGAGTCTAAACTTTTGATGGGTAGTATAGGTAAAATGATTCCCCACAAATGTGCATTTGACTTGGATCTTACGAAAATTAAATTCAAGAAAATTATTTATGCTACACCAAATTGACATGTAAGTCCATATAAATTACGTCAAGTGTCCGAATACTATTTGCACGACTCTGTACATCGAAACGCTTTATGAAATAGACAAGACGTTGTTATGCATAAAGTCGTATGATTTATTAATTTCACTAACTTCAGGAATGCCGATCAAACAATTAATGGAAGTCACGCTGAGAAATAATCAGATATTTCTTTAAAATGGAAACTCAGGGGTGGAAATAACCCATTGCCCGACGTCCGAGTCCAGTGTTTTTTTTCTGTCGGGCAAGTAAATTTGTATATCACACTGTACCGGTGTCCAGTTGACTTTCCAATGTTAATTATGTTGTTTATTTAAAAAATCAACAAGAAAACGGCCGGTATAGTGGAAAAATTATCAGGGCAAGTGATTTTACATGTGCCACTGTACCGGAGTACACTAGCAATTTTAAAGTTATTTCCACCCCTGATAATACTTCTAAACTGATCAAAAAAGAGACTAGAACACATATTCACATTATTATCAAAATCATATTATTTCTTTTGTAATATTCTGGTTGTTGACTTACTTTACGTCTCTGATGGCGCAACACAATACCATCGAGAAGATCATTCCCAAAATCTGAAAACGAACATGAAGATATTAGCAAGTATTTCCAGTCACAGGTGAATGAATATAAAGGAACTTTAATCGCTTTAGGTCACCAATTCGGTCATTTTGATGTAACACAATTCCAGAAATCGTGTCATCACAATGAGGGAAGTCAACACAAAGTGATGCACATCTCAGATATTTCTCAGTCCAAGAGTACACGGCTGACAAACCTGGAGACATAATCCGAACATCCGAAACCACAATTACAGGCTCCTGCTGTCCCCAAGGGACGCAACTCTGCGCAGCGAATAAGACCTTTAGGCCACCGTGTTACCTCTTCATTACAACAATTGAATGAGTAAGTATAGTTTTACGCCGCTTTTAGCAATATTACAGCAATATCACGGCGGGGAACACCAGACATGTGCTTCACTCATTGTACCAATGTGGAGAATCGAACCCGAATATTCGGCGTGACGAGGGAACGCTTTAACCACTAGGCTAAACTATCACTACAACGAACCAGCACTTTACTGACTGACTGAGTTTAGTTTTACGCCGCTTTTAGCAATATTACAGCAATATCACGGCGGGGAACACCAGACATGTGCTTCACTCATTGTACCAATGTGGAGAATCGAACCCGAATATTCGGCGTGACGAGGGAACGCTTTAACCACTAGGCTAAACTATCACTACAACGAACCAGCACTTTAACAAAAGGGGTAGGACAGTTTCCCCATATTCGCATATCAAACAGGAACAAATGGTTAAAGACCCATAAAGAACATATTCTCCAGCCTGAAATTATTGTATATTTATACGCAAGTTTTAAAGGCCGTTTAGATCGAGTTTGAGTACTACTGATGAAGTATTACTTCGGTATTAGGCTACTATAACCGGTCAGAGAAAAACGGTAGAAAAATGGCCAACGTCTGTGACTCTCCACCCACCATGATTAGAGCAACGCCGATAGCAACTCCAGCAACTATGATGAGGTGAGACGACAACTTGGAGAACAGTTCATCAACGCAGGGCTGAAAGTTACAAGTAATATCATTGTAAATGATAAAATTGTAAACTTACAAAAACATAACAATATCATTATATGAGCAAAAAATTTATGAAAATATGATATTTGTTTTGAAACATTACAATATTGCAGTTATATTATCAGTACGTGGTTTATTGATAGGACTGACTACCAAATTTGAGAAGATAGGGGGACGCGTTCCAGGGATTATATCGGAAGAAACTGATTGTCCACGAGAAAACGTTTAAACTGTTGAAGAGAAAGGAGCAGGTATGCAAAAGACGTACACAAATTGTAGCTCATCATTGTTTTAGTGTTTAAATTATCTGAGCAGTATCTGTAAAAATGTCCAATTCCCAAACAAAATCCAAAATGTAAGAATAATCCAGAACAAGGTGGGCTGAGACAGGGAGAGCATCTTGCAGCACCTTTATCATTGTTTCAGTAATCCTACTGGTCGCTAGCTGTAACCATGGTAACCACTGAACACGACTTACCCGTTGGTAATTCTCTGTTTTGCATGAAGGTGGGATTTGGCCTGTGATGGGATAATCATCAGCTCCCTGTGAGGACCCACAGCAGTCCAGCTGATAACAGTGAGAAAAGGAGTGAGCACTGCTTAGAGAAGATTTAGTCATTTTAATATCTACATACATGGGACTCTTGATATTATTCCATATATTCTGGAGGTTCAGGCCGCCTCTGACCGAGGTCACGCTAATAACGATGGCCGCTTTGTATTGCTGTAAGCAACGGTGCCTGTCTGACGGATTGGCCCACCGGTATCCATTCATCAACCAACACAACCTCGTGAATGTAGAAACTTTACATACCGAGAGATTAGGAAGGACAATTCATGGTACATGTCAGAATAAGACCGTATAACGCAGATAAGTAAATTTCACCATATGTTAGTCTATCGTCTTAATGCTAGGGGTGAAACGGTACGCTCCTACCACGGTACGGTAAGTATTGTGTACAGGGCCTTCGGTTCGGTCCGGTATATGAGACCGCCTCCGTGGTGTAGTGGTTAGAGCGTCCGCCCGGGTTCGATCCCCGACCGCGTCATACCAAAAGACGTTAAAATATGGTACTTGTTGGTCCCTGCCTGGCGCTCGGCATTAATGGGTACAACAAGGACTGGTCGGCTCGGAGTCAGTATAATGTGTCTGAGTGGGGTATTCATGCTTCATTGCGGCATGGTATCTCAGTGGGCTAGCACTATAAAAAAACAGCTTAAGTCTGGGCTAGTACAAGCAGCCGCACATACACACACACGCGCATGCACGTCGTCATATGAGCGAAATATTCTCAAGCACGACGTTAAACCCAATTTCACCTCACCTCACCGGTATATGAGATATGATCACAATGCAGAAAAGAAAAGAACTGCATAGATTTTGACAAAATAATTCGATTTCTAGACATTTTAGAAAAAAATTATAAAGTTAATAAAATGACTACAAAATCCGAAAATACAGATTTTTGGATTGCATTACGGTATACCGAACCGAAGGCAAAATATCCCGGTTCTACTAATACCTCACTATATCGTTTCACCCCTACATAATAAAGGCAGGTTCGGGCTTACATGTAGTGAGCTTACGGTCGGATATATGTAGACATGTTGAAACATACGATGACCATAACATCTTATTAAATGCAACAATATACGTTAATCATACAGCAATGATACATCTGCTTATAATATAGCCTTTAGACAAAAATACTCACTGTAAGTGTCAACATGACATCCTTCAACACGTGAAGCGCTTCATCAGTTCCCAGAATTCTTACTGTGACCTTTCACCATAACTTTCCAAAACCGAAAACGTAACTGACGGCACTTTCGTAGGCTAGCAAATAAAAACGAACATGCTTCGCGCTTCCGGTGAGAGACGGCCTTGGCCTCGTTTTCGATTTCCTCATGAATATTGATGAGAAATATCAAGAGTCCCTTGTCTGATTAGCATCTTTAACATGAAAGAAATGCTACATGCTAAATGCGTAAGGTAATGTTGCTGAAAGGAGAAACAACGCTCAAGCCTGTTATAAATCATGCCTGGTGAAGATAAACGTGGTCGACAGCATGAGCGCCATCAGTGTTGTACAAGACTACACAAACAGCATGGGTGACAGGGGCGGATACAGCATTTTTAGAAAGGGGGGTTGCATACTATTGAGAAAAGGGAGGGTGCACATTTCATTTTCACCCGAGTTTCAATGGTTATCAAAAAAAAATTCAGAACAAAAAGGGGGGGTGCGCACCCCTGCACCCCCCTTCTGGATCCGCCTATGGGTTAGTGTATGAGTTGGGTTCCAAGCCTGGCTGAACAGTATTTGTGTTTACATGTAATTGATTCGCGTTCACCTCATGCAGGAAAAACAACTAATAGAAACAGGTCTTATTTGTATATGAGTGAGTGAGTGAGTTTGGTTTTACGCCGCTTTTAGCAATATTCCAGCAATATCACGGCGGGGGACACCAGAAATGGGCTTAACACATTGTACCCATGTGGGGAATCGAACCAGGGTCTTCGGCGTGACGAGCGAACGCCTTAACCACTCGGCTACCCCACCGCCCCTATTTGTATATGAGGGCGTAAGGTATATAACCGTGTCTGGACAAGTTTGGTTGTTGTTTAACGCTGCACTCAGCAATATTCCAACTATATGGCCCAGTGGTCTGTAAATAATCTAGTTTGGACCAGACAATCTAGTGATCAACAACATGAGCATCGACCTACGCAATTGGGATGCAATGACATGTGTCAACCAAGTCATTGAGCCGGACCAACGCTCTCGTTTTTCGCCTCTTACGACAAGCATGGGTTACTAAAAAACATTTCTAACCCGGACCTGCATTGGTCGTCTGGACAAGGCACCTCAGTGACTGGCATCATGATCTTGATCTACCCACTTGGCGTATGATGACATACATCAACCAAGCCAGCGCACCTGATCACCAGATCCCGCTTGTCGCCCTTTCGAGAAGCATGGATTGACATTTGCTGATGACCAGTTCTCACTCGGCAGGATTGTGCTGACAATCCTCGAAGTATAATCAAGGAGAATCTAGGAATCACACCATTGATAATGTTTGACCACCTTCTATCGTATTTGGTGATTGTAAGATATTAAGGTATTCCAATACTGTTCCTAAGCCACGAACATAGTTCCGGCCATTTCGTGTGGATATAAATCTATTAGAACTTATAAATTCCAAACTGCTTTTTCTTCAAAACAGTCTACACACATTGAATTCCATTGTCAGTCTTAACCTGTAATTATTCGTTGTTTATTCGAAGTTGATTGGGTCATTTGGGCATAAAATATATCCACATGCGGCTCGTACATGTTAAGACCAACACATGGTGGGAAATATTAACACACAAGTGAGTTAGTGAGAGAGTGAGTTTGAGCGCTGCTTGAACAGTACTTTAGTGGTATGGGCTTCACACATGGTATCCATTTGGGGAATCGAACACAGAACTTCAGTGTGAGGAGCGGACACTTCAACCATTAGGCTAACACACACACACACACACACACACACACACACACACACACACACACACACACACACACACACACACGTCAGCTGATTATGTGAAGAAAGCCCGACATATTGCAGGTTCACCACCATGGTGGAGCAAACAATCACGTGTATAGTGCTAACACGACTAGAACAATAATATGGGTGAAGAGTTGTCCGAAACCACGAGTGAGTGACTGATGGAGTATGGTTATACGCCTCTTTTAGCAATATTCCAGCAATATCACGGCGGGGAACACCAAGAATGGGTTTCACACATTGAGTTATTTCTGGGTGTGCCAGTTTGGTGGAACAAAATCCAAAGTGATGACAGTGTGTAAAACGTTCACCACTTCGGGGAATCCCATTTATCGTAATTTGGGCCATGGTTCTGATTTCAAAACGTTTTCAAAATTTGTCTGTTGTTGAACAAGAAGTCCAATGATTGACATCATAATCGGATACGCCGAACCAAGTCAGTGAGTCTGGACACAGGTAGGGGCAAAAGAAGGACAATTCCACCACTGACATTACAATAGCGAAAACCTACCTCTTTCTGTATCTTGTCCATTGCATCCTTGGCCTCCTGTCGATTCCCGTAATCATTCACTGACTCTTGGAGGAAGTCGCCAACCACGCCTTTGATCTACACAAACAACACAATAATAATAACAACAAATACATGGTATGGCCACCGCTTTGACCAGTTGCCAGCATCAATACTCGTTGGACTCTGAAGTGATACATCAAGCCGTGACAATAGGAGGATAGCGGGAGGTCCAGCTGGTATGGTCACCGCTTTGACCTTCGGCGTGACGAGCAATGCTTTAACCACTAGGCTACCCCACCGCCCCAAAACTCGGTGGAAGGACAGCACCCTTTCCTTATGTTCAATGAATATTGTTATAATGTTTCCCGTTACATCAGGTAAACGATTATCGTAACACTAGGCACATTGAACTAGGCACATTGAGGCAGTGTGAACAGCTAGATCTAACGTCCTTCCGGCGAGAAGAAACGCTATGTCATGAGACTGTACCACTGCCCTCGCCTAAATTGTGAGAGTAAGTGCGTTTAGTTTTACGCCGCTTTTACCAATATTACATCAATATCACGGCGGAGGACACCAGAAATTAGCTTCGCACATTGTACCCATGTGGGGAATCGAACCCCGGGTCTTCGGCGTCACGATCGAACGCTTTAACCACCGGGCTATCCCACAATCCCAGAATTGTGGGAAGATCATGCTTGCAATAGGTTTGCACTCCACAGGAGTAAATGATAAGAAAATGAGGGTGCATATCTCAGTTCTTTCACGGAGCAATCCAGTAACTATCTATATGATCATGCCTGACAACGGGATCCATACAGTCAGCTCTAACAACAAGCATAGGATCCCTCCCGGGATGATGGCAAATATAAGACTTACACTGTCCTTCTGAACCACACAGTAGATGCCAGCGCCGAGGAGAACACAGAAGATGATGAACAAACTGATGAAGAACTGAAATGGAAAGCATCATCATGTGAGGAGTGAGGAAGGTTTTACACAAGTTTCACCAATATTCCGTCAATATTACGGTGGGGGACTTAACACATTTTACTCATGAAGGGGATCGAACCAGGGCCTTTGGCCTGACAAGCAAACACCTTAAACGATGGACAACCACACAGACCATCATTTAAGCCGGTACATGTGTTAAGTATTCAACAGCATTCCAATAATGCAGCGAGGAAAAGCCGGAATCAGCTTCACACATTTCACTCGTGGGGAATGAGTGAGTGAGTTTAGTTTTACGCCGCTTTTAGCAATATTCCAGCAATATTACGGCGGGGGACACCAGAAAGGAGCATCACACATTTGTACCCATGAGGGGAGTCGAACCTGTTCTTCAGCGAGACAAGCGAACGCTTTAACCACTGTTCTACCCCAACGCCCTCACTCGTGGGTATCAACTCTGGCCATGAACCTCAAGGAGCCACCCCTCATCCAAGGCGTCCTTACTGCCTATCATATTTAGGCTGTAAATATTGAGTGAGTAAATCTGAAACGTCTCGACGGTGCAACAGGATAGCACGACAGAAGCTCATCGGGACTGAGTAAGTGACATTGATATATTTTATTAAAGAACAAGAGTCTTCTATATAGCGTGAATAATCCGTAATCATTTGAAAGATTCTGATGTTCTTTAAGTGAGTGAGTCAGTTTAGTTTTACGCTGCACTCAGCAATATTCCAGCTATATGGCGACAGTCTGTAAATAATCGAGTCTGGACCAGACAATCCAGTGATTAACAGCATGAGCATCGATCTGCGCAATTGGGAACCGATGACATGTGTCAACCAAGTCAGCGAGCCTGACCACCCGATCCCGTTAGTCGCCTCTTACGACAAGCATAGTCGCCTTTTGTGGCAAGCATGGGTTGCTGAAGACCAATTCTACCCCGGATGTTCACGGGTCTGATGTTCTTTAAACCTCTTTTGCGTAGCATATATTAATCAGTATCAATGTATTATTGGTTATTGTTTAACGCCACACACGTTCGCGTTTGGCCTGGACAAACCAATGGTTGACATTATTCTACAACATTGTGGTACGATGACATACAATGACCAAAGGTCACCGACGACAACCCGGTCTATATGGCCGCCGCGGAGACGACCCTCGCCTAACAGGTCAGAACAGAAACTTCCACTCACCAAACCTAGCAGGCACTGGCTCTCTCTGATGGCTCCACAGCATCCGAAGAACCCAATGACAACTACGATGCAGCCGATGGCGATGAAGAGGTACGCTACTACATACGTTGGGTTGCTGCTTACTGTCTGGTCCATGAACTGGCTGAAGTTGGGATCAACGCGAACCCATATGCCGATGGCCAGAATTGCCATACCCAGCAACTGAAAGAATAGAATATGGACGAAATTAGTAATCATTCGATGTTACCAGAGCAGAATCCTGCGTGCTACATGCATAGAAAATATAGAATGTATGGATATAATGTATATTTGGAATCCCCTGAAGCATAGACGTCTGAATTGAGTTGCAAACTTTGTAAACTGCATACATTGACATTTCATTTTCGAATAGAAGTACTCAAAACGCAATGCTCAGTGGTTGACATTCCACCTATATAACGAAAGCATGCAAATAATCGAGTCCGGATCAGACAATCATGTGATTGATATCGATCGTCACACAATAATGGAGTTATCACACCCTGGAATAACGAGGAAGGTATATGTACACACGAGGAGTGAAGTCAGCTGTGGTGAAGACTCGTTAAAGCGCTCGTAAAATATTGCTGCCCGAGCGAACAGCGGGAGAGAGTGAGAGGGAGAGAATGTTCTTATTTGGTTTGTCTGTTGTTTGAAACCACATTCGTCAATATTCCAGCTATATGGCGGTCACATTTTTAGTAAGAAGAGAGAAAGTGATAGACACATGGATAGAAGGTATGACAGACAGAATATCTTGTTAAAACGTAACGTACATCTTTACATCAGATAACATAACGTCTTGAAACTTATACAGTCAGTCTTCATGTAACAGTTCTACAAACATCGCGTCTTAAGTGTATGAAACAGTCGCACGTCAAGAAAAGAAACATGATTATATATACTCATAAAACATCACAGCAATCCCTCGGGAAATATAATCTAACACTTAATTTTCCTAATCGCCTGACTTGTTGCTGGAAATGATAACACTATCTCTCAGTAATTGACTCAACGAGTCCTCACAGAACGCTATTTCCAGCAAATGAGGAACCATTTGTTTCTCGTATCGCTGTCTGCACTCATTACCCGACAAGTTGCGCCTGTTTAAACCGTTAGGATTCCATCTACAGCTATTATCACAATAACAAATATGTAAAATGACAGGGCTTGTCCCACGAGGAGACAAATATGGCCGTGCCGGAACCGACTGGCATGAAGGTAATTAGTTTAATTATACACGGATCTTGTCAAGAGGCTATCGTAAAAGCGAAATATGACGCCGAAACTGAATATATGCTAGAGACACATGTGACTAGGGCTGCGCAATTTAACCGGTTTACCGGTATTTACCGGTTCAGACATGAAAACGATACGTATTGCGATACGCTGATCGAAAACCGGTATTTTGACTTGCATTCGGAAAACTTCGTAACACTCGGAATCTTCGGATATTTCCTTGTTTCATTTGTGCCAAATATAATTCACATTTATATTTTATCATGATGAAAAGTTGTTATTGAAGCTTAATCAAGCATAGTGATTTGGTTGTGTTTTTGCTCTATAAATCAAGCATTAACTCGATTATAAGTAGTTTTTTGTTTAAAAATACTTCATGCGATATAGTGCAATTCATATCGCAATACATGCTTTCGCATCGCAATATATCGTAATATGAAAATTCTCTGCAATACCCACCCCTACATGTGACCCAGTCGTACTAGGTACCGTAGTTGACAAACGCATAGTATCATCATATATAAATAATTATAATTTTGATAGTAACAAATAAACCCATTTAAATTGAAAAGGAGACCCAGACAGATGGGCAATTCAGAACCCGAGGATATCTAGACTTGCTACATCTACGGTTTTTAGCATTGCAGGGAGGGCTAGGCAGGAGGGAAATAATGTGGTTCAGGGACTGTGATACCGTTGTTACGTTCCGATGCCTATTTCTCCAATGATACAAGGTTTCTTGCACATGACGCAGGCTACAAGCACGGACATGGTTTTGGAGGACTGACTTACAGTCTGACATACGCAATGTGAGTGAGTGAGTACGGTTTTGCGCTGCTTTTAGCAATATTCCAGCAATATCACGTCGGGTGACACCTGGAATGGGCTCACACATTGTACCCATGTGGGAAATCGAACCCGAGTATTCGGTGTGACGAGCGAACGCTTTAACCACTAGGCTACCCCAGCGTCCAATACGCAATCTGCAGAAACCGTAATGTTGCATGTCATGAGAGACGAAGCATATTTTCTTTGCATAAACGTTTCGTAAATGAAATAGGAAAAGTTTCGGAATAAGACGCAGGTGGATTTAGAAGGGGACATTTAGAAGTATATTAAATGACAGTGAGTACTAAGGTGGCCAAGTTCCGGTCTTGAATCTTTGTAGAGAACAGAATGTGTTTTCTATCTTCCGGTAGTATTACAGACAGTACTTATTCTTTCTGTTGTTCGAGTGCTTGGGTGTCTCGTCTTTCAACTTGAAAGTCTCAACCTTGTAACAATCTTGTGGCGTGCTAATGAGGTGGTCACTTTTAGATAGTGTTTATTTTCCAATTTGTATCCAATTTCCCCCTACGCGTCTGATTGCACGTTGTTTAGTGGAAGGATGTTGGTCGGTCTCAGTAAAGTATATGGCTTTGAACCTTTCTTGTACTGTTTCTTTACATTTTCCAGAAGAGATATGTTTGTGAGGCAAATCAGGATAATGTATGATAATTATTGCGTCAGCACTACACGTGATTTACATGTGTGATTGTCCCCAAACATGACTGACTGACTGAGTTTAGTTTTACGCCGCTTTTAGCAATATTCCAGCAATATCACGGCGGGGGACACCAGAAATAGGCTTCACACATTGTGCCCATGTGGGGAATCGAACCCGGGCCTTCGGCGTGACGAGCCAACGCTTTAACCACTAGGGCACACACACACACACACACACACACACACACACACACACACACACACACGAGAGGCTGGCACGCATTCGTGCAATTGAAATATATTTCAGATCGCCGTTAATACCAACCTACTCACTCAGATAATAGGTGACTTCAGTTCCGCTCACATATCTTTCTTGTAACGCTTGTACAGTTATGATCTACTTGACAGTATATTACATCACGTGATCAGATATAGATATCGAATTCTCAAGCCATTTCTAGGCATTCCTAAAGGCAACAGAAAACACGGCCCTAAATACCAAAAACAGTTGAAGACCATAATCCACTGACGTCAGATGAGACCTTAATAGTCTCTTTGTCAAATCGTGACTCCTTCAAAGCTAAAAGCATCAGATTTGATATCAGAAATCATCACGTACAATTACAGCGAAGAGAACACGAAATATGACATATGTTCTCAAGGCGATAGCTTGTAAACGTGATGAGCGTGGAAACCACGAGATCAACCAAACGCTCTTCAGCAAATAGGTATGTTTTCTTAGTTATCTGGATCACTTTAGATATATAGTAAACATCCAAGGGCACGCCTGCACTGACGTGACATATGTCAAGGCATTTGGTTCAAGGAGAAAGGGACGTCTGTGATGGAATCGTGCTTTGGTGGACAATAGTGGTTGTATTACTCAAGCCTGACAATAGCGTTTTGTTATCCGGGGTTTTTGCTTTGATATTTCAAATATCTCAACCCGAGAAGATCAAATGCTTGTCATAAGAGGCGACTAACGGGATCCAGTGGTCAGGCTCGCTGACTTTGTTGACACATGCCATCGTGTCCAAGTTGCGTAAATCGATGCTCATGCTGTTGATCACTGGGTTGTCTGGTCCAGATTCGATTATTCACAGACCGTCGCACTTGCAACATTCCAGCCTGATATAATTTAGTCTGACCCAGACATTCCAGTGGTCAACAGCATGAGCATCGATTTACGCAACTTTGATATACTGACTTGTGTTGGTCAGCTCGCCTGACCACAAATCCCGTTAGTCATGCGATATGACACGCATGGATTGCTGAATACCAATTTTAACTCGGATCTTCACGGGTCTCAGGGGATGCGAGGCAAACCAATCATGAAACTATGTCGTTACAATCATCAGCGTAATAACGTTGTACGATCTGACACAACAGCATCACCACCAGCATCAGCATCACAACACCATCCTCTGAACAAATGGGAGTTCTTTATAATATACCAATATATCAGCTTCGTATGGGAGGAAAATCCGAAATGAAGCAGATTTTTACCGGCCCAAACACGTGAACAGTGCTCATAAACATGAATATTTGTCTTCATCATTTTTCATGAAAAGAATACGTTTCATCCCCTCCCGCCTCAAATGAATAGTGATTAACACTGCGGCATGAACCCAACGACTGGAAACCTAATCACATCAGTCTCCTCAATGCTCGACCTATTTCTGGAGTGTGGGTACAGAACATGGTCTTCTGGGCAGGTACTGCCTTGGAGCCTTGACATAACGAGAGGACTATTTATAGCAGGCTATATCTCTCCGGGGATATTAAGGTGACTGATTGTCATTCAGTCACGCCGATTGCAAGGCAGGATTCGGCATCCCCTGGCGTGCAAAGGCAACGTATATCTCCTTTGGCCGGATTCCGCATCGCCTGGCGTGCAAAGGGGGTCATGTTGTATGGTTATACTTGGTGAACGCTGCTGAAACAACTGTTGTTGTCATCGCTACCGGCAACGACATTGGTAAGAGTGGTTGACGTTTGACGAGCGCGTTCTGATTTTTTGCACCTTGAATTGCAAAAAACAACTTATATGAATTCAAGATATGGTGTTAGACAGTCATTATTTGAGATGGCAACTGACAAATTGTTATTTGTGAGGGTTTTCACTGAAACCCTAGCAGGATTTCGTGGGTGACAATTATTGCAACGGTTCTACAGAATGAATACAAATTACTAAAAGCATAAAGAGGGGACAGCAAGTAGTAGAATAATATTCACAGCTGACTTGTACGTGGTCTATTTGAGGTACATAAATATATAGGTAGAACTACACTACTTCAAAGAAATACAAGACCACTGGTTCGTTCTATAGTTAACCTGTTAATTGCACCGCCTCCATCATCTCGCTTATCCAGTGTAACATCATGTAATGGCCTGGATCCATAACCTCGTTCCGGCCCCGACTGAACTAAAAGTAGCCGTTCAATCAAATTGATCTTATT